ATTTCCTGCCTCTAAAAACCATGGGAGGGTCAGCTTTGGGTTGTTCCCAATATGATGACACAAACACACACAACCCCTCATCCTCCCCCCCCAAAAAACCCAAACAAAACAAATGGTAATTTAATATTTTAAGGCTATTTCTAATTATCAGCTTAAAATGATAGAAGTCATTTTTCAAAGGGTTTGACTAACAATTTCAAGATAAAGTGGTATAATTCTGTAATCTTGTAACTTCCAGTGGAAATTCTTTTGGGTTTAGGAAGATCTGTAAGTATGGTCCAGGATCAGGTACGTCTACTAATGTGACAAATATCCCAACTGATCTTCTGATCTCCTCCAACTAAGGCTGTAATACTTGGACATGCTGCTTCATATTTTCCAGAAGGTCAAACTGTGTCCTTTGCAAATTCTAAAATGCTTTATGCAGCAGCTTATGCTGTTTAAACATGGTACTACAACTACTTTTTTTGGAATTTCACTTCAATTATACAGGGTTTTTTACCTTTACCCTTCACTTCTGACCTACGCATCAGCACTATTTGACTAGTCACACATTTGGGTATTCAAGTCATTAATAAACATGTACAAAATGTTCATTAATGAAAAGGTAAGACAAAAAGGAATAAAATTCATCCCAGTGGTTGAGTGGCTTATGTTGTTGTTGTTATGTGCCGTCGAGTCGCTTGCAACTCATAGCGACCCTATGTACAACAGCCCTAAACTCCGCTCTGTCCTGTGCCAATCGCACTGTCTCTGACACTAGACTGAAATTTAAATGATAAACTTGCTGGCATGAAAATATGCTGTTTTTAAGACAAGCACTGTATTCCTCAAAGACGTTTAAAGGTTCAGTATACACTGTGAGAAACTGAAGATAGTGTAGGCTTTTGCTACTGATATCATTAATAAAAATTCAAAATCACCACATTTTTCCATAAAGCACTTGCAATTCTGAAAACATATCCTTTCCTTGCATACATGCCCTAACATGTATGCACAAAAATGTTAATGGTATGTTGTTATGGAAGTAGTTGTTACATGTCATCAAATCTAAGTTCAGAGCTGACCCTCCAGTAGGTTTTTCTGAGGCTGTAAATGACAAGGGAGATTTCATCTTTCTCCAGCATAACAGTTGGTGGATTCAAACTGCCTGTCTTTGGACTGGCAGTACTATTCTGTGCCACTAGATTACCAGAGCACTATACTCTGGAATAGAGTTTTGAAATAGCAACCTAAATGGTCAACAAGAAGGAAACGGTTAAATAAACCAATTCCAAGTGTCTAGCATAATACTAAGCAGCAGTTAAAAATAAAGAGGCAGATCTACAGCAGCTAATGTGGGAAGATTTCCAAGAGAGAAGGTAAGATGCACATTTTTTTATAGTCCTTATAATCCCATTTATTTTCCAAAATGAAATTCTAGATTTCTTTATGTACATATTTGCATGCAAACAAGCAGGCCTAGTTCTGGAAGAAAACACTGAAAATGGCAGCCCCTGGGGAAAGAAGTAGCCGTTATAAGGGCTGTAAGGTAAAAGCAGTCTTTCACTTGTTATTTCATCCTTATTCATTATTCTCTTCACATTCTCAATGAGACCTATCTCAACTGACACATTTAAAATTGCAGCCCCTTTGCCACACTCTGCTCCTAACTTTTCCCATTGCTTCTATCTGAATGAAATAAACCATAAATTTTATTTATTGAGGCTATAGAGTATTGTTTATCTCCTCCCATTAGAATGTAGATTCCACATAACAGAGACTTTTCTGTTTCCCTCAAATAACTCCTCAACAACTAAAATAGCATACAAAGTAAATAGATATTGTATTTTTTATGAATATTTACCTGCCCAACATTTTATAATTCTCTGTATAAGCGATGTAACAGCTCTAGGGGTGTGGCACCAGCTGTACTGCTAACCCAAAAGCCATACCCCTCTTTGTCAGTTTAAATCCACTATCAAATCTACAGGTGAAAGATGGGCAGTCTCCTTCCCACACAATTTACAATCTCAGAAACCTGCTGAAGGCACAGTTACGAGTCGGTTCTGACTCTATAAAAATGTGTGAGTTATAGGATAAGGAGACATGATGTCACAGTGGGTTAAATGTTGGGCTACTGACCAAGAGGTCTGAACTCCCACCAGCCACTCTGCAGAGAAAGATGGGCAATCCCTGCCCATGCAATTTACAGCCTGAGAAACCTGCTGGAGGGTCAGCTATGAGTGGGTCTGACTTGACACCAATGAGTTTGAGTTATATAGACAAAGCGTCCTAGAAGTACAGTAGGTTAGATATCCAGATTCTGATGAGCTTCTCTGCAAAGAAAGATGGGCAGTCTGCTCCTGTTAAGATCTGCAGCTCAGAAACCTGATGGAGGGCTGCTATGAGGCAGAACTAACTTGAAAGTAGTAGGTTGGGTTAGCAAAAACAAATAAAATACATTTATCTTTTTAGAGAGATTTAGAATGGTGGGGATGGGGCACAGGAACCAGCTACCATTTCTCATTTTGGTCTCTAAAGTGGCTGAAGGTGCTGGACAGTCAGCCCTATCAAAAGGAAAGGGTGTCAGAAACCTGGCTTGAGAAGCTGTGCAATCCTAGGAGGGGAACCCTAGGAGGGGCTGGCAACTGCTCCAATATGGAGGGAGTGTCTATATTCAAATACATGTATCCTTGGAGAGGGGCATCATGCTGGGAAGGGTGGAGGCACGTGGCCAGGAGAGACAAGATCTTGAAGCGGAACATCACGTTTAGGATAGTGGAGGGACAGTGCAAGAGAGGAAGACCCTGAGTGAGATGGATTGCCCACTGACTGGCGTGTTAAGTGTGTCAGAGTCGATGAGATCAACTCAAGATAGAACAGGGTTAAGCGCTGTTGTACATTGGGTCACTAAGAGTCACAAGTACATTATCAACAACAACAACATTTGCAAAACTAAGGAAAAAATATATGTATGTATACTCCCTTAATTATAAATCATTATGGAAACAGAACAATGTGACTGGGAAATCAAGACTTTAAATTTAGTGAATTGCCTAAGGTTTCTCAATCCTACTCAGAAAGATAGGAATGAGCAAGTGACAGTATGTTATATAATATACTCTCTCCTGTATATCCCGAAGATATTCTTGCCCAGAAGATAATGTTGTTATCCAAATAACAAATCAAGAGTCAGAACAATTTTCCACACTGTAAGATATCCATGTGGATGAGCAATGAACAAAATGTTTTAACAAATTTAACAAATGCTTCTGAGGAAAGACTTATACTCGGGGGTGGATTAAGTAGCAAGCATGGTGTGCATTTCTTTGATCAAGGCAGGTACGCCTTAACTGTGTTTACTTGCCAATCTGTGATGAGTAACTTCACATGAAATCATTCACAGGAGACTGATTAGAAGACACAATTTGGCCCTGATACACTTTAACTATTGGGTAATCCAGCCCTGCCTACAGCTATATTAGTAAGGAAAGATTCAGTGTGCATCACCCAACGGTGAGCCAATAAAGCAAGCCTGATGAATCAATGACACTACCTGAACCATGCTATTCTTTTCTGTTTCAAAGAAGACCTGATGTTGTTTTAGTTAAAGATGCTTCTGGGTAAACATTTTTTTTAAAGCCTTTTACTCTATCCTTCACTCTAGACAAAACTGGAAATAGACAAGGAGAGGACAGGGCTCATGACACCTGGCTGGATCATTTGAAAACACTGTATCGGGTCTGCAAAGCCAATGCAGTATTAGGTCTGCAAAGCCACCATGGGACTCATTACAAGGGTTCCTCACTGAGGTGAACAATACCCTTGATCAAAGCTTAGCTTTTATAAAGTAAAAAGATTCATTCTTAAGAAGAAAGAAGATCTGAAGAAAAGATAAGATTGGGAGGCAGGTGGACTACAAATCCCTAGAAAAGGCCATTAATGTGGCATAAATTTTAAAAAAAAAAGATTAAGAGATAAAAGAAAGAAGAAAGAATAATGAGGAGGACTGGCTTTGCAGCTCTGATACCCTTCTCTTAGAAAGGTCCAGCTGGCTACTGCCACTTAAGGCTGAGTGATAAGATTTATTCCACTTAATCAAAGAGAAACATCTGCTAATTAAAGAAAGCTGGGAGTGATATCACTTGTAACTAAAAGTTTTCTATTTTCTTAATGAGAATTTATCAAGGTACACATTAATTACCAAGTCTATAAAATATTTTGTATTGTTTAAATATGCTGGAATTTCTTCTAGGAAAATTAGTAAATCTTTTGAAACAAGGTCTTCATCCATCATTAGGCCTCAGGATAATTAATCAGATGGAGGAAGTAAAGTTAATCAAAAGACCACTTTTCAAAGAAGGGCTGATTGTAAGTGCGGAGGAGATTTAAAAATGAGCATCAACAGCCACAACCTAAAGTTTCTAACCATTTTAACATCTATTTTATAGCAAACTACTCTGGTGGCCTAGTGGTAAGGAAATGCACTGCCAATCCAAAGACAAGGGGTTCAAATCCACCAGAAGCTCCACAGAAGAAAGGTGGGAAATCTCTTCCATGATTTAAAAGCCTCAAAAAATTCACTGCAGGGTCAGGTTTGAATTGGTTCGAACTTAACAGCACATAACAACACATCCAGAACAAATCTGGACTGCATGCCTATTATGTTTTCTAAGTCACCATAGTTCAAAGAATCAAAATTAAGTGAATGTCTTGTCTGTACCAAGTACTCCACCACATGCGTTAAGTATGTGAATTATTTATCCCTCCACAGGGCAACTCTAAGATGTTAAGTTTGTATTACCACCATTCCAACTTATGGAGGAAATTGAGGTCCAGAAAAACAAAAGTAATTTGCCCCAAATTATGCAGTTTAAAAGCAGCCCAGCCAGAATAAGAACCTGTGATTGCTAAGTGACCCTTGTTCTGCTATACAAACAAAATTTGGAAAATTTGGTTCCCCTGGAACTACAAGGAGGCAATTAAGTGGTAAAGAAAACAGAAAAATTGTCACTCACCTCTGGATTTTCTTCTTTTACTCTTCGTGACTGTAAAATAAATATTTAGCTGTAAGTATATGAAATAAAAAATAAATAAGTTAGCTAATCATCATTCATCAATGCTTCTCACCTTTTCTTGAGAAAATGCAGCTTTTGCTTCTTCACTCTTTTCATCCAACTCGTCGTCACTCCACTCCCAGTCACCGTCTTCGGTTTTGTGAAGGTGACCACTGGACCCGGGAACTCTTCTTACCTAAATCAAAACCAATCCAGACAATTCCTTACTAGTCAAATGTGAACAGTATTCCCAGTCACTGCCACCTGGGCTACATGGCATACACACTTGCCTGAAAATAACTTAAGAGACTATGAACTCAGAGTTGAGGAGTTAAGACCCAGAAAGACCACACAGACTCCAGACTCTGCACGCCTCCTTTCCAAAAATATTGTGCTCTTGAAATGTATGGCAATACACATGAAGAACAAAATATTTTGGAAGAACACCATACACAAAAGCCATTGAGAACCAAGCTTGTCTTTCACATTACTTAATGTTTTATTCATTACTATATGAAAAGGCCACATGGTCTACTTTAAGATTGCCTGAGGAGATACATGCAAGCCCAGAGTAAGCGAAAGAAGAGAAACCAGGTAGTCTAATAAAACGTACTACTAAAGGCAGGAGCCATCTAAAACTAAAGTGAAAAAGCAAATACCCTTCTGCTGGCACTGTGCTCTTTTTCAGCACCTGACATCACGCTTGTTTTCCCAGGATTCTGCTCAACCTACTTGTGCAAAACAAAATACTATCAGACTAACCTTAACACACCCTGCATCATTTATTATGAGACTTGTGAGATTGCTAGGTGCACAGCCCAACAATCAGAATCCATGCCAGAGTTTTGACTATAATCAGTCTTCCCCAATTATTCCAAATTTTTTAAGTAGGGTAAGCTGTAGCCCATAGGGTATGCTTTCCAAATGTCTTTGTGGCTGCAGAAAAAAAGTAAAGCTTTTAAAAGCACCAGATGACTGACTGAGAATGAGATTCTGACCAAAGTAATTTGCCTTAAAAAATACTTCGATGTAATCAAGCAAAGCAATGGAGCAGATGAACAGGATGTGATCATTGCAGTCAGTAATTCACTGACTCAGAGGAACTTTGTGGGGGGAGATCTTTCAAATGATCTTATTTTACAGTCAAGGAGATGACGGTCCAGAAAGTGACACCCATGCATGGACACTTGGCTAGGAGGACAAAAATCAAGTTTTCACAGTCTCATTCAAATATGAGTCTCTACTGACTAACAGAGAAAAAGAACTGCCTAAATGTGCTTGTGAAGATTCTGAATGACTAAATGTGAAGGCAAACTATTTTCTGTAGTAAAAAGAAAAAAAAAAAGTATCACAGGAATTTTACTGGTCCCAAAGGAACCAGCACAGAATTTACATTTAAATTAAGCATGCATACCTTTCAGATCAATATGAAGCCATAAATAATGAAGGCTCAGAACTAGGTTTGACAGGAGAGTGTATGTTACCAGGTAGAAACTGTGTAGAGGTGAGCCCGACCTTACAGTTTACAGGATTTGAGCTCAAATGCTACTGGAGAGGGGAAAAAAAGTTCTCATTCACAAGCGCAAAATAATAGATTATGTTCACTTTCTTTAAAAAATGCTTTACCCCCACTTCAAACAGCATTAATTCATTCACTTTTGAAAGGTTTGGTACTCTGTAAAACATTTCTGTGCTTGCCGTATTTTATTACCACCTGTATTTTGATGCATTGTAAAGACTTATTCTAATGATGGTGATTTTAATAGTGTGCACAGATGTTGGTAGAGTAGGGTAGAAACAGTGTTGACAAGGGTTTCAGAATTTTCAGAACATACTGCTCACTTTGAAGGTATCAAGAAAAGGCTACAGAAAGAAAATATGTTGACATATCCCATTAAATTAATTCTTCTCTGAGTAATGCTAATCATAGTTGATAGAGCCAAAGAAGAAAATGTCAATAAGTATATGTAAAAGAAATAAAACCAAAATTTTTTAACAAGCATATTACTACCCATGAAAATACTAAAACTATGTATCATAAGAACAAAGTTATATTGCTAAGTAGCAATTCTAATTCACCAGCTTCTCTGCAGGAAAAAGATGAGCAGTCTCCCCTGTGCAATTTACCACCGCTGAAAGCTGCAGGAGGGTCAGCTGTGAGCGTGTTCTGACTCAATGTCACACAACAACAGCATTTTGTTGTAGAAATGCATAAACCAGCTGATGAATCTATAGTTTTCAAGTGTCACTAAGAAAATGTTTCTCTTTTGGAAAATAGTCAATTAGTTCTGATTCACATTCCAAAATCTAGTGTACGCTCCCATCTCGCTCCCCTTCTTTAAGCATTTATACAATCTGTCAGTTTGGTCTCTACAGGCAGGATCCAACTTTATACACTAAAAAAGGTTATGTTTTTCTATTTCTACCTTATTTTAGAACTCTGGGCATCTTTCTCTTTCATTTGCTCGCATGGGCAAAAAAACCCCACAAAACACACTCAACAATAAAATATTCACTATGACAGACCCAGACAGTGAAAGAACAGTGACCTTTAAGAAATACCAGTTGAACAAGTAAGTGAATAAACACTGAACAAAATAAGACAAAGAACATGGTGGGAAAATATATGTAGGATAAAATATCAAATAGCAGCAAAAATAAAAATTCACTTTTGAGAATATTCTTTCAGGTTATCGGTAGGAAAACAAAACCTTGCAGCATAATTTGAAACTCAGGCTTCATGGTATCAAGGAAAAGATCAGAAATCAAGTTTTAAAAAGCAGTATCCTTGTAGAGAGTTATAGGGAAGACAGGAAACAATTCTAACTTTAAGAGTCAAGAGAACAACAGTTTCACATAGTATAGTCTTCTCATTTGGCAACTGGAGCTTGGTAAAATAAAAACTTCATACACCTACATATACAACATTTTTATTCACCAAACACCCCATTCTCAAAAATGATGGTTTTCATCCTTAGAATTCTGACTGTGTTACTGCTGCATTATTCTTGCACTATTAAGTGAGCTTGGGTAAAGCCAAACAAGCACACAACAATAAAGAACCACAGACATTGCATCCAGTGGATTCGGACGCCCAGGCAACCATCTGCTACAGAGAAGAATCATGCGCCTCAGAGTTAGTTCTCTTGGTTGTAATCTTTACGGAAGCAGATTACTGAGGCCTTTGATCCATGGCTGTTGGTGAAATCAAGCTGTCAACTTTTAGCTTAGCTGCTGTTAGGTGCTATCAAGTTGAAACCGACTCACAACTGACTTTGCAGATATTTTTCAAAGGCAGCAAATCACAGAGAATAAGACTGGTCATCTTTCTCCCAAGGAGCAGGTGGTGGGTTTGAACTGCCTATCTTTGGGTTGGCACTACAACTCTACACATCAGGCCATCAAACTACCTTGAGTGCAAAGCCAGTGAAATAAATGTTACACTCTTATTTTCTCTCATGGAGGTTAATTCCCTCCCGTCTTTTTCTCAGACAATGAATTTAAGTAATATCTAGAGATATTCATAAACTCACTGCGGTGTTAGCCTAAAGTTGGTGTATTTTAGTCACTACCTTAGCCCTCTCGGGTCTCCAGCTGCCTTAATTGCAGACACATGGTTTTGCAAATCATAAATGACTGTGGGACTAGGATAAGAGAGAGTGCTTCCCACATTGAGCATCACGACTCGATGGAGACTGGAGTGAGATTCTGGTGAGAGCAATACCCTGGTAATGGTGGTAGAGAGACTGTGACATTGAGGTGGAGAGATTGTGGCACTGCTGTGGAGAGACTGTGGCAAGGTGTAATCAAAGGAGTCCTGAGACAAAGGTCACAGTTAAAGGTTTTGCTGTGATTGCTGGATACTTTAAGGAGAAGCTGACTAATAACTGTTCTGAGGCAAACCTTGCTGGATGATTGAAAAAACCAGAGGCCTCTTGAATTTGTGTTGCTGCTCAACTGAAACAAAGACTTAGACTAATTAAGGAACTGTGTTTTGCTGTTAATCTGGTTTGGGATTGCTGGACTAAACCTCAACTTGTAAAATATTCTTTGCCTCTCTCACTCCCTATTTCCTTAATAAACCCCACTCTTGGCACTACAAGTATGAGTAAAGTCTGTGAGTCAACAACAAATGAAAGAAATGGCTCTATAGGCCCCATCGGGCTGGGCTACGGGCTCTTTATCTGCCTTCTGCTCTGGGGCAGTGAGGGGTAGTGCTATTTTCACTCCCCCTGGCCGCTCATGGCTCTGTGCCCCTACATTCTGTTTTCTGCACTATACGCACCTACAAGCTCCTCAGGTCACAGCAGGCAGTGGTGAAATTATGAGAAGTTTTATAAACAGTAATATGTACTTCCAAAATCAGTATTACAATGGAGTCTTTTTATTTATGCATGCATCTATAAAGGAAAGCAATTTTTTTCTTCCCTTTCTCTAAAGTCCATCTTTACAAAAATCTATTAAAGATATTAATCAAAATGTGGATTCTCATCAAAGCAAAAAAGTCAGACAATCAGACAGTGCAGTGGTGTTAACTGTCCAGTTTTGGTGGTACCTGGGTAAGATGTCAAAGATGGACTCAGGGAAAGAAAATGGCAGCTATGAAGGAAAAAATGCCTGGGCCAGTTATGGGTTGAACTGTGACCCCTACAGAAAGATACAATGACTTCCTGACCTCTACCCACCCACTATCATGCAGTCAATTCTGGCTCGCGGTGGTGGAACAGGACAGAGGAAGGCTTCCAATAATGTTTCCAAGGCTGCACATCTTTACAATAGTACATTTACTTCTCTTTCTCCCTTGAAGTAGCTAGTGGATTCAAGTCACATATCTTTTTTATGTATGCAGCTGACGATTCTAAGCACTTAATCACTGAGGCTCTTTGCTAGTCTCTAACAGCACCCAACAACAAAATGCAAGGCTGTCAAGTTGATCCTGCCTCATGGTTAACTCTCCATCAGGTTTCCAAGGCTGGAAATGTTTATGGGAAGAGATTGCCCATCTTTCTCAAGAAGAGAAGCTCGTAGATTCCAAACTCTGACCTTTCTGCTAGCCCAAGAGGTAACACATTTGGTCACCATGACTCCTTCCTAACCGCTAAGACCTGTAAATGTGAACTTAGTGGGAAAGTGGATCTTTACACACATAATTGATTAACATGACATCACGTGGAGTAGTGTAGATCCTATTCCAAT